TTTTTCTTCAAGATGGACAAATCAACCCCAATTAAAACCAATAATTTGATATACATCATGATATTTTTCTAGGGGGGGGTAAAAAAATTTCTAGGGGGGGGTAAAAAAAATTCCGGCGCGCTTCGCGCGCCAAATTAAAATTTTTTACCCCCCCCTACAGAATCCTTATATCCGCCCCTGACAATATATATTTTAGGTTTCTGAACCACATGATGATATGTGCCATGTAACATCAAAATGTAATATTTATTAGCAAGTTTTTGAGAAAAAACATTTCTCCATTTTTCCTTACAAATTTTTATTTCACAATGCCTCCCCCTCCCTCCCAAGTTGTGTGTATGGCACTGGCCTGCGTCTATGGTATGCCCCCTCCCCCCCCTCTACCCAGTTATGTGCCTGGCTCAGCACTGCCTGCGTCTATACCTGTCTCCAGCCAGGCAGCCAGCTCTCTCCTTCCTTGTTTAGTTGAGTTTTCTACCGCTAGGTTAGACTGATTTCAATTTGGCATAATGATTTATAAATACGATTAAAACATTTAACATGCTAGCGAAATTTCAATTTAACTTCAAATTGATCAAGTATAATGTCAAGGTTTTGTCAAAGATATTTATATATGAATACACAAAAGCCCTTGACTAATGGTGTCAATTTAGTATAAGTTTTAAATTGTTACTGTTAAGCTTAATGGTTGTTATCGCGAAAGAGTCTAGCCATGATCTGGGTAATTTTAGGGGCTTGACATGCCTTATAATTAGGATCGTATACATTAGTTTGAGCAACACTCAACATGTAATCTGACGTTCGTTGATCCGAGGCCTTAAAGACAAACTATACCGTAGGCAGAAACTAATGAACTTGAACCGCGTGGCTGAACTGCCAATTACTGGATCAAATTCCGCTCAACTTAAAATCTCCAAATCAAACTAATTGAATATTCCTGTTGTTCTGTCCCCCGAGTTCCCCAATTGAAATTTGAGTCAAATCAGTCAAGGGGTTCATGAGTTATGATCGGACATACAAACAGATTACACCTTTATATTTGAGAAGAACATTTATTACTTCTAGATATAAATACACTAAATACACATTGAATATTTAAAAGTAGAGGAAGATGAGTATGGTTTCTCTGCATTTCTAAAATCAGATGCTTATACTGATTTGCAGATTTTATAATCCTTTTTCGGGGATTTCCTTCTCAACAATATATTATATATATTATATATTGTATATATATATATATAATTACACAATGTATTTCTAGTATAGTCGTTTATTCCCAAAACAAACAAAAGTTACTTCTTCATCTCTTCATCTACCCTCTTCAAGTGATTGATTTAACACCACTTATCCACTTATTCACCACTAACATAATTCTCCTATCCCCCCCCCCCCCCCCCCATCCGAAATTTAAAAGCTGTTGCCTCATCTTATCTTTTTCACTCAACACAGAACTAGTTTTTATTAAAGTTTTAATTTAAAACTTCTTAACTTTCTTATTCAAATAAATTTTTAGAGAGTGGTTTTCTTTTGTCAATTAAATATTCAGATGGTCTCTAATACACTATAACCTCGCATGGTTACCAAGGATGAGTATTCTAGGTCGTCTTTACAGTTTCATCTTTTGTGGTTAATCCTGATTGTTATATGCAGGGGGCGGATATACAGGGTGTCCCACGAAACATAACATTTAGTAAATAGTTAATTTTAGTTTAAAAAATCTTTAGCTTAATTATCTTTTACTTTGAAATCAATTTTAATATAACATGACTTCCATATAATATTTTATTGATCCATGGTAACAAACAACTTAACAAATTATGGAAAAAGACATTTTAAACTATTCACCAACTGTCATGTTTCTTGGGACACCCTATAGTTAGATATCTAGCTCTTGAAATGTCTACTCTATTTCTAATGCCTCGATGTAAATATGTAATGCTAGTTGAAGTGCTCGGAGTTGCCCAGTTTTATACACTGATAACCAGAAAACTGTAGAATAGTAAGTCAACATTAAAGCAATAATGAATTGCATTTGATGTTGTTGCAAAGCAAATAGCTTTACTATTAAGTTGTTAAATCACTTATGATAGGACAGACAAATATACATTCAGAGATTACAACTTTGTATTTTTATATAATTATATATATATATATATATATATATATATACATATAGAATAGATACATATAATGATATCAAATTGAGCATTTTTGAAGATGGTTGAAATGTTGTCACTATACCTCTAAATATATTTAAATGGGAGGTTTCGTGATTTCGACAACCCCCAACACTAATTTAAGACAAGGATGATAAAAGCAAATCTACCATTTCAGCTTCCTTTACAAGAATTTACCCCCCCCCCCCCCCCCCCCNAGAGTATAAGAGAGTATCAGAGAGTATAAGAGAGTTTGAGAGAGTATCAGAGAGTATGAGAGAGTATCAGAGAGTATGAGAGAGTATAAGAGAGTATCAGAGAGTATAAGAGAGTTTGAGAGAGTATCAGAGAGTATGAGAGAGTATCAGAGAGTATGAGAGAGTATAAGAGAGTATCAGAGAGTATAAGAGAGTTTGAGAGAGTATCAGAGAGTATCACAGAGTGTCAAAGAGTATCAGATAATAAAGCTAGCTGTTCTGTAACGGTATTATAGCTGTACTTCAAAGGATGTGCAGATGTTTAAGGTATTTACTGTGCTCCTTGAACAGCTATAATGGTGTATGTACATTCAAGTGTATGGAAGAAAAAATCTAATATACTTTACAGTACTTGATGTGTGTTCATTGTTCATGGAATACAGAAAAGTTAAAATTTATGTTTATAATTTTTATGTTTATATGTATTTATAATATACACTGCACTATAGAGTACAGTTTTGCATAAAAATTAATTCCAGTGTACACAAAAGACCCCAACAAGAGGCAGGCCAGTTGTACTGGAAAAGATGGAATTCAGTGTACACAAGAGATCAAATTTATGTGTATGTGTCTGTACCAAAAGAGTGTTGTCAACCATTAACATTAAGACCCCCCCCCTTCTATGTAATGTCGTCTTCAACTTAAATGCTCCTCTCGGAGACGAGAAACCAAACCAAACAATTTCAGCCCGCTTTTCTTCTTTGTTCTCCGATAACGGAGTATAAACGTTTATCAATTGTGAACCATTTCAAAGTTAAACAAAAACATTTCTATTTAAAGAATTAGTGACTTTCATCAACATTTAATTGTTAATCTTTTCAGAAGTTTTAATGTATAAAAAGCGTCTTCGGACTTTTCGACAGATAACCCCCGAATAGGCAAATAGATCGTAAGAATCTTTTCATTATAAATTTGTAAACCCTGTAATAATTATTTATCATTATTCATTTCATTATTTTTTTAGGAAATAAAGAGTTTTCTGCATTATCGATTTTGATTTGTGGGTTATACCTTGTCTATCTGTTCATCGTCAGAATCTTGTTCCTTAGCGACAACAAGTGTGCGTGTGTAATAAGGAACCCGTCTGCAAAGCAAGTTCGTCTGACTTTCTCAACCAGACCAGCGCCATTTCCATTCTCTTTATTCTTGTTCCCTGTATTCAATGTACACAAGAGACCCCAACAAGGTACAGTTGTACTGGAAAAAAGAAAAAAAATCAGTTCTAATTGTTCTTCCTTATAGAAAACTCATATAATGAAGTTCCAAGTTATATGCATGCCAAGTTGCTGAAAGGGGGAAACACCCATGTCCGGCTGCATATCGGGTGAGGGGGGGGGGGGGCTACAGGTTTCGGGAAAGGGGAGGAGGTACTAGGAGGAAGGCGGTAATTTGCATAAACTGAATATATAGATTTATACATTCACAGTATACATGACAAGGATACAATACGCCCTAAACATCCTTATTTCTAATTCTTAATAGATATACACCTAATCTATCCTTTCCTAATATGTGTGTTCTTAATTCTTTATAGGTATACAGGGTGTCCACATCATATTAGATCGTCAATCGGTCTAAATTTCGATTTTCGGGACTAATCATAAAATTTAAGAAGAATATATCATTTTGAAAAATTGTATAAGGCTAATATAAGATTTTTCTGGCGGAAAATGCTAGGGTTTTCCAGTATTTTGGTTTATTTTGGTGTTAAAACTTGGAAATAATCTAATATAATATGGGACGCTCTGTACCGGTACGTCAATTCTATCCTTTTCTAATATGTGTATTCTTAATTCTTTATAGATATACGCCCAGGGGCGGATACAGGGGGGGGGGGCGGGGGACATTCGCCACCTCCTGGCAGATTTAGGGTGGGGCGTAGCCTCCTCCCCTGAATTTGGAATTTTTTGTTCCTATTTTCAGAATAGCTTCTCAATAGCATGCTTAAGGGAAAGAAACCCTAGTGCAAAACAGGAAAAATAACTGTCCTAATAAACTATAATGTGTGAAAAGTTAAAAATCTAGTTTTTTAGTCTTTAGTCATTAATTTCGACTCTTTTTGAGTCTTTTAAGTCAAAAAAAATTTTCACCCGCAGCGCGATTTTTTTTCCTAATTATGAATTTTTTTTTTCCTAAAAAATCTTGCCCCCCCCCCCCTCACTTAAATCCTGTATCCGCCCCTGTATACGCCTATTCTATACATTCCTAATATTTATTTTTAATTCTTAATAGATATACGCCTATTCTATACATTCCTAATATTTATTTTTAATTCTTAATAGATATATGCCTATACTATACTTTCCTAATATATGTATTCCTATTTTTTTATAGATATACGCCTATACTATACTTTCCTAATATATGTATTCCTATTTCTTTATAGATATACGCCTATACTATACTTTCCTAATATATGTATTACTATTTTTTTATAGATATACGCCTATACTATACTTTCCTAATATATGTATTCCTATTTTTTTATAGATATACGCCTATACTATACTTTCCTAATATATGTATTCCTATTTTTTTATAGATATACGCCTATACTATACTTTCCTTATATATGTATTCCTATTTTTTTTATAGATATACGCCTATACTATACTTTCCTAATATATGTATTCCTATTTTTTTATAGATATACGCCTATTCTATACTTTCCTAATTTTCTGCTGAAGCACTTAATTTGTTATGTTTTTGTTATATTTCAAATTTAAAAAATATGTTTAGAGATTTATTCATTTAAAATTGCAATATATATTGAAAATAAAGTGTATTTATGAAGATGTTTACCTTTTTGTCTCATACAAATTGTTTTTAAAGAAAAAACTACGTTTTTAAGGGACTGTAAACGGGATTTAAAGTGACCCTCCATTTATAGAGTGTCATGTCCGATTCACAACGATACCATTAGTAGCTGTGTCTGATCATGAATGAATTAGATATCCGTCTTTTTCCCAGATTGCTTTCAATTGTAGTTTTTCTCTGTTAAGGGTGGTGTGCGGATTTATGCTTAAAAAACACAATGATAGAATTTATCAGTATTTTATTCAATACACCAT